AGATTAACATCACCCGTTTCCAAAAGCTTATGCACTGTTCTTTTCGATGTGGTGTGTTGCAATCTCAACCCGTGGATAGAAATTAATCACTGGTAATAGAACATAGTGTTCCGAAATTTCTTTATAGCACTGTTTGCCAAGCAGAGTCCTATTTCCTAATACAAGTAGCTCGATAAGTCTATTTTTCACAGTGCTTCTCGACACCGGAATAATAAAAATACTGGCATATTTCTTCCTTTGCATAGTTTTCCCTGAACATTGCGCAGTGCTAAGTTCATGCCATATAAGCAGGTAGACGTCTAAAATTTAACGGCTGACTGTACTTTCACCCGTGAACCGTGCCCATATTCAGTACAATTACAAAGACTCCACAGTGTGAGTTTGGAACATAATCCACTGTCTATAGAGGCTTTCAGATACTGGATACTCCACATTACTTGATAAGATAAAACTACTCCACATTATTTTATAAGATTCTGCAACCTTCACTGGTTTTTAAATCTTCTCCTCGCGAAATCACGGTCTCTGATGCATGACGTAAATTGCATTTTCATAAACTTTATTCCTTCATGCTAAAATTTCCTTCAAAGGATATTCAAAATATTGTAAGATAAGTCTCGAAAGAGATATTAGACATGCTTTGGAGTTTCAACAGGGAAAAAAATTACATAAAACCCGAATTTTAATTCAGCTCAGCAATTAACATGGACTCTTACTGATATGTTCCTTTAAACCAACAGGACGCAAACCTCAACAAATGCAACTGAATTCTTCTTATAAAAAAATGCATTTGCTCTAAATTTGTTCCATTACTTAACAGTGAATGTTTAGCCTATTATACAAATTACTGATCCAATAGCTTTAATTAAAAGAACAGAAAGAAAATTAGTATCTTGGTTATCTAAATTGTAAAGACACAACTCAGCTGCACAGCGGATAGCTTAACCTAGTGACGAGACTTGATTTTACCCAGAGATAATATTATATATAAGTTAATTCACTTCAATTTAAGCTTATTTTATTAGTTAACAAGATTTCTTTCTAGACTAGAGGATTCTGCCATTTTAGGAATAACTGCTTGAAATAAAATGTACAAAGAAAAATTCTACGAATTCAGATTGGATGAGTTAAGGCAAAGCAAATCAGGATTATGTAACTATGCTCCGATCTAATTTTCCCAAATCTTCTTCGACCAACTTTGAAGAATCCAAGGGAGAAGAAACGTTGAAGAACCAAGCTCTCAGTCTGTCTTCCTTTCGCTAAAGCACTACAGTTACAAATTTCCCCGCCTCGTACGTAGCATAACGTGGCGCTAATACAAGTAACGCCATTTTTTAATTTTAACTCTAAACAGATAACGACCCTTCAAATAAATATATAAATAAAAAGTGAAGTACTTTAAAAGCAAAAGAATTAGAAAAATACACCACATAACACGTGTTAATAAAACACTTAATTCAGACAAGACCGTGTTCCTAAAATGTATCCGGATGGAAACAGCATGTTTCCAAAACCACATAAATTAAGTAATAAAATAAGAATAATTATGACACGGGAAAACACAAGAATGCTGTTGCGGTCACCGCAGACGGAATATGAACTCGTTATCAACAACTTAAAAATAGAAAAGATTAAGTAGCGGAAATAATTTTAAGAAGTTCCAAGATTTCCTTCCCACAAACTACCGTTAAGTACAAGCCGGTCCGCAACTTTCTCACACGCAAACATCTACGCGAATAGTAACCATCTAGAAACAACTCAAGAACAGTGAATAAAATAAGCAGGTACAGGTACAGGTAGAAGCTAAGCCAGCACCTCCGTAATACCACAGGTAATTGAGGTATTGCTGAACCTAGCTAACTGTTAAACTTTCCACCCCAATTTTGAGGGAGAACACAGCGGGGGGTGGTCCGAGGTTCTCTCGCCCCTCTTTTTTTTACCATCAACCACTTGGGAGGACTTTCTGAGATAAATGAGCTCTGGTATTAATAGTGTACATAAATCATATTGAGAAAAGACTGTCCTTGAAAAGTTCAACAACTGATGCTTCCAAAAGCAGAAATGTAAGAATAAATGTCTTTTCTAAGGCGTAAGGTGTAATAAGCAAGTCAATAAAATAAGCACACAGTTACATATTTGTCAACAGGAATTAATCCAATCACAACCACATGAAACTGGTAGTATGCATGTGAACAGAAATAATGGGTGGCGCACAAAAAACAGCCTCGTGAGTGTACAGGCAGATGCTAGATTTTCTCACTTATATCATTGTTGCTACTAATGTAAACTGTTTTCAATGCCAATACAAAAGCCACGAAGTCATGTAAAGGATATCAAGCCACTGTGTGTTACGCTGATGACACAGCGATTCTTTCTTGTTCGCTGAACAAGAGATTCGTTATAAAATGCATCCAAGATCGTATGCACAAGATAGAAAATCGGTGCCGAAAATGGAGAACGAGCATTAATGCCTCTCTCAGCTTTTGCTAATAAGCCGTCATAGCAGGAAAAATGTCGATGAAAATTCTATTTAGTGAAAAAGTGCCTAAAGTTACCAAGGTATGTAAGGGTGAGATTGAAATTCACACTCACTTGGAATCCGCACATTTCAGCTGCCATACGTAAAGCAACAGAAGTTTCACGTAAACTTAACGACATTCTTGATGCTTCTTCAGCGTAGGACTTTGCAAGGACAAAGCGAATTTTTTCCTCCATTCTTCGTCCCATACTGACCTATGCTTCCTCTACCTATGCACAGCTTCAAAACCCAATTTTATAAAGTTGCAAGCATTCCAAAACAACGTCCTGCGTAAAATCATGAAGGTTCCCTGGTTTATTTGCAGTGAGGACTTGCGCAAAGATCTAAAACTCAGATTTAAAACCTTTCATCAATAAATTCAATAACTTCTTTAACAAACTAACACTGATATCGTAAACTATGCGCATAACTTTAAGAATGAACTTCTAGATATAGACTTCAAGCTAATAAGAATGTATGCTACTCATCTTCTAACTTATGACATTTAATACTGAATTCAGATTTTCCCACCTACGATGATTATTGGTTTACTCTTTCCTCTGTATTTTGATTACACTTTACATTTCTGAGACACGTAATAAAATTTTCGCAGCATTCGCTGAGTTTTGTGCATGGGTGGGTGACCTGGCCTCCCATGTGACTGGCGCCGAGAATAAACAATCTTTGACTGCTAATATTATGCTGCTCCGCATAATTCTTACAAGTGTAATTTTATACAGTTCGCATATTTTTCTCATAACTCTTCGGTGTTTACATATTTTCACACTCACTCATTCCTCCAGTTTACACGTACGTGTACAATCCACTGCACACTATCTCTTAAAAGCAGTGGGCCTTAAAATTATTTTTGCAATTCACCCAAAAAGGTTTTTATTTGCAGTAAATTATGCAAGGTTTTTCCATACTGGGGTTACCCGAGATGCTGGAAATAGCGTGATAAATTCATGCTGACACCAGACTAAAGATTAGTATCATATTAAAGGGCAAGTATTGTTAGACAAAGAACTGCAATAGTAGACGCTCGTGACAGGTAGATGCGCCGGTTTTTCGTGCGTCAGCCTTTAATACTAGTTCATATATTTGTTTAAAAAAGAAATTCTGTAAGCTATCAACAAAATACAGCAGTACATTTAAGAAAGAAAATAATTCAAAAATTCCATAACTAAAAATTTTTTATTATAACTAAATTCGTATCCGTCCATACACGATGACCCTTGATTACCCCATTAGATAAAACATGCGCAGATGTTGTGAATTTCATTATCGAATATACTCGATATATTCTTTCAGAACACTGAAGGATTTTGTAAACATGACGCATTTAGCATACTGGGATTTCACTAAGACCTACCAGTACGTTTCGTGTGGTTCAGTTCGATTCTGAAGAGATTCATCAAACCATAATATGAAAGGACATGTCTTCAAATTACGCTTAAATTTAAAAAAAAATTTAAACTAATTTATATACAAAATATCTTCATGTCGAAAACTCTGTTGCTGTTGTTTATACTATCGATATGAGATCATCAAAATCAGGTTCATGAATTCATTACGGTCAAGAGTATTGTCGTTGGTCAAGGCCTTGGGAAGCTTATAAGTAATATAATGAAACAACTCAGTTCCAATTTACACAGCACTGCTTAATCCCCCACAACGCTCAAGAAAATTGAACCTAATCTCTTCTTTCAGTCAAAGAAAGCTGCTTATTCGCCGTGCATCTATACTACTCATAATAATAAAAAAAAAATGTTTGTTTTATATATAAAAGCTGAAACTGTATAACGAACTATTAGTAACAAAATTTAACGTTGTTAAATGCTACTTAACACTCAATTAAAAATGATACATAACGAGATTAGATAAAAGGTTGACTAAATAAGGTTTGGCCAATATGATAACAGTTCATTAAAACGTAACTATATAAATACGAAATAATTAAAATTAAACAGAGCACTTGTAATTTTTCGCAGAAATTCAAACACAGAAATTGGTTATATCTAGTAATATAATTACGCTCTTATACATCCAATTCTACTTTCCTTGGCTATTATGCCCATACTTCACCACAAATGATAGACCAGAGTTGGCCAAACTTCATGTCAGTAAGAGCCGCACGTTTTGAATTCAGGAATATTCGAGAGTCGCATCTAGATTTCCTAAAAGCCACAAGTTCATATTTACATCATTATAGAAGTAGTGGAGGAGGTTTTAAATAGAAAGAAATCCCCGATAACTTTGTAAAAAGCGTCTAAACTAAGTAAATACTTCTTTTTGGACACTGAATAGTTTTAGTTTACCATATTTTATACATATATTTTTATATGCACGAGCCGCACAAATTGCCTGCGAGAGCCATATCATGCTCGCGAGCCGCACTTTGGCTACCCCTGTTATAGACCAACAAATAGATATTAAAGCATAATTAATATATACAATCAAAAATACAAGAAATTAAACTTACTTCGAACCGTTGTATTCGTCCAGTGAAGGCGTCGTCCGGTATAGGATAAGTGAAAATCTTGCCCGATATAGCGGTGGCATCCGTTATACCCCAGTGTCTTTTAACAGTATCTTTGCCATCGAATGGTTTGTCGCCTTGCTGTTCTTGCACTGCGTTATTGTCCAGATCTCTCAGTAATAAATTCACGTAGTTCGTTTCGTCGTCATCGTTAGTTACAGCACACGTTACAGTCATCCACAATGCAAAGAGCAGTAAAACAAGGTAAGTTCTTGAACGGAATGAAAATCGTCTTATGTGACAGTCTTTACATGAGGCCATAGCGGCGTTTGAAATGTTGTTACTTTTTTATGATAAGACGTGCTTATTTTTGCTGTTCGTTCAAGATTCACATTCTGCAAGGTATGAGAAGAGTTGTCCTTACAAAATTATACACAATCAGCTGCCGGCAAAGCTTGGTCAAACTGAAATGAAAGAAAAAAAAAATATTTTATGCTAAGTTTACTTATAACAATCTCTAATAAATGAAAACTTTTCTAGCATCAAATACTGCAACACTTGAAGTAACTTTTAAAAAATACCTTTATAATATAAATATAGACCAGCGGGGAAACGCATTATATCCGCAAGAGAAAAATGATAAACTCGCTATCATATCTAGAGGTATGGTTAACCATATGTAAGCACTTATGTGTTGGTTCCTTAAAACACCATTTCAAAGGTTCCCACAAAGGTAAAAAGTTCGACAGTGGCTGGTCTAGATACTGCACATTTTGGTAGAATAAAAACTACAGAAGGGGCTATTTTACAGGATTTTCGCAGATAAAGGAGCCATTTTTATTTAAACTTGATGACTTTTCCTTTAATATCAACGTTAAAACGAATGCTCTTTTTAAGAAACTGTATTGTGGGTAAAACGTTGTAGAGTTCCTCACTTTGTAAAGGCTAAGTTGCTGTTGAACGTGAAGAAATCTTAAGAACTGCTAAGCGAATAATCGCTTAAGTTCGTGTGACAGGAAACAACAAGATGGAAGGGTAGCTAACCCTTTATTATTCAAATAAGATTTAACAGAACTCCGTCTTGGAGTGTACAATAACAGCCGACACTTGGGCTTGAACTTAAGAGGCTAAGAAACTAAAACTAATCTAAACTAAAGAGATATAGCCGAAGCAAGACTCTAACCGAGTTGGCCCCTTAACGTTAATTGACTGCGAAGCTATCAAGGGCCTGAGTACGGCCGAGCGTAATAACAGCTTTGCGAGAGAGTAGCCAAAAAGGCAGACGCGCGCAAACCAGACACTCTTTGATTCTCTCCAACTTAGCAAGTAGAACTTCGCGGTTAAATACCGCTCTTCCTCATTATGTATTCAGAGTGATTCTAAAACTACGTTCTGGCCGAAGTAATAAGTTGAAGAAGTTTAGAATCGACAGGAAAGGAACTTTAACTCAAAAATTTAACTGTTAATAAAATTAACATAATCCTTACAAAGTAAACACGATAAAACACACAAAGAGCTGCTGCACCCCGACGCATCTTTTGTGCAGTATATGTTACCACATACTGCATGCAGCTGGCATATGGAGGATCTACGGTTCGAATCTCTTTCGCAACTGGTATTTGATTCTGGTCCCCCCCTCAAAAAAAAAGATAATCTCCTGTCTACTCTTATATTGGATCTCTGGCAGTTGTTTTTCATTTCGAGGAGGAGATCACAGTCACGCGAGCACATATCTGGTCAGTATGGTGTGCGTACCAATATATCCTATTGCCAGCGTAGCAGAAGATCCGTGACAGCTCTCGCATTCAGACCCTGCGCATTGTCATGAAAGATGGTACGATTTGTCACCAATAAGTGTCGCCATTTTCTCCTGTGTACAGGACTTAGATGGTGTCTTAGGTGACGAATCCCATAATATTGCACGGTGTCATAATGGGAGCGTTGTTACGCATTTATTTTGACGGTAAAGGTAGAAGGTACTAGAATTACGCCATACTTAAAGGATATGAAGTGTGACTATAATCTTTTCTCTACAATGAAAGAAACATTGCGATGGATCACTTACAACACTAAAGTAGATCCATTCAAAAAGATGATATTCACGCTTTAGAACGGTTGTTGTGGTATATCAACAGAATTGGAACTGCTGATGGTGATGGTGGCTTCCAATAATATGGCACAACGTGGCAGATGGGCGGTTATATGAAGAATCATGTACCTGTACTTATAACAAAGATCATTTTAAAGCTATTGACAAATTGCCCCTACTTTGTATCCAACCCTTGAGGTTAAGTAACACAAAAGGTAGATAGTAGAAAATTTTGGATGCAACTATTTCCATTTTCTGCAAACTGTCATTTAAACCTAGTATTTTCAGTTATTTTAGCTAGCTTTGTTATAATTCTTTTGTCTGCTACTGCATCAAAAAATAGTACTTTTTCTTCCATTTTTAAATTTACAGATAAATTAAGCAATAAAAACTTGCAATCAGCTCAACAATAGAAATAATACAAGAAAGTACTGTGAATGAGTAATTCAGATATCTCAAGTTTTCCTGGCAAATTTTTCAACTATTGCACAGTAATTAGGAAATATATAAAAATAATATAAAATTTAAAAATAAAACTAGAGAACTTTAACGAGTATTTTCATATAAAATAAATAAATAACCAATCAATATATATATATATATACATATATATATAGAGAGAGAGAGATATGTAAAATATAAAAAATACGATGGCGTTGCTCTAAGCGAACAGGCAACCTCTAATTAACTTTCCGCAATTTCAGGATCTTCCCCCTAGACCAGTACTTTCGAGAACGTTCTGGCATGTTATGCAATTGCTTACTATAAATGTAGAGTTCGCGCCATTTTTCATCAGATTGCTTTTTTCCTCTTGCCGCTATAAGACCCTTGTTGCCGCTCTTCCAATCTGTCTTTCTTTGTTTGAATAGCATGAAAGCAGTAAATTTAATCCTATTTAGTCTAAATTACTATCGTCTATGTAATCTTGGAGAATCTAAAAGAATGAATACTTCTATTGATTTGCCATTTGAATTGAATAAAGATGTGGAATCAAAACAGCTAACTTCTTCTGTGTCATTTCATGCCAAGCTTCATTCATGTGCTCGACTGCCAAAATATTATATACATATATATATATATATCAATCCATAATCTCATTTTTAAGTAAAACTTTGTTTTACTGAAAGATGAAGAATGAAGAAAAACTATAAGAAGTAATTTCCAGGCTACTGGAAAGGGTGATTGCTTTTGATTATGGCAAAGCACACGAAGGCTATCTACGTGAAGGAATGCTTTCATGCAGAACGTTTTAAGGGAAACTGCCTCGTATCCACGTTACACATGGGGAAAACCCAGAAAACGCCTATGCAGCCAGCCCGTTCGCCACCCACGTGGAACTACCCACGTTCAGCAACTTTACCGCTCGGCCTTTGGTGGGCCACTGAACCGGTGAAAAAACTTAATACCTGTCGATATGAGGGAAGAATAAAAAGAGTAAATTAAAAAAAAACTTTTTTTATTAAATTTTATACTACAATTTTAGAAACATTCCTAGTTTACTTTTTAGCATACGACAAGCGACTCATAATTGGACTAATAGCATGTAAAGGTGTTTTCTCTACTAAACAACTTGCTTACCAAACACCTAGGCTAATCTTTAGAAGTTAACTCTAATGGTTGGCAAGTTACTGCCCCTTTTAATGCTAAGGACAAATGTTAAAAACTTTATTTTCTACGACTTGTAGTGCTTCAAGCAAGTAACCCACAAAAACAATCATTTATGTGCTACGAAAAGTCGAAAACAAATAGTTCGCTTTCTCGTCGAAACCAACTTACTGCAAATCTACAGTGATGCTGGCTTACAATTCCAATAAAAGCCCTATTCGAAGTTACAACACGTTTGGGTCGGACGAAAAAACACCACCTTTCTACACTCGCTTCTACACCACCTTTTTACACAACATCAGCTTTCTTCAGCCTTTCAACTCAGTTCGTCAGCAGCAAGACAGCGAAAAGAATTCTCTTCAGATTTCCTCCTAAAATTACGCCGCTTGCAACAAAATTTGCATAAACTTCTGTCCTAATTAAATATGAGATGAAACGAAGCATAAACGAAAGAAACTGCATTAGTTGAAAGAAAGAATTTGCGTGTACCATAAAGTGTTAATTAAATTTAAACCATACATGTCAAAAATTAACCCTCTGAAGACGAAACATTAAGTCTTCACTGTAGTTGCTATTTTCTTCATCACAGCTTTTTATGTAAAGACATAAATTAACTAATTTCTATTCCTCAAAAATTTCCTTTTATTTTACGTAGCTTATCAAGCATTACCATGTTCTAAAGCAAAATACAGCGATGTTTTTATGTTTTTTCAATTAACAGAATTCAAATTGCATCTGGTTTTACGATGACAGAAATACTATTGATAGAAATCTTTACCATGTGAGAATTTCTTACAATAACATTGTAGAGACATTAGGTATTTTTTGTAAGCAGGAAAGATGAAAAAAAAAAATGCCCCCGCCGGCACTCCACGGACCTCTCGAATTCGCGTCGAACGTGCTGACCACTACACCACGAAGGCAAGCTAAGAAGGCGGGAGAAATTAAAACATTTTTGCCATCATTTATCTTCTGATTAACTTTACACGTATGAAGCAAAATGTAAATATGGACGCGTGCCCTAATTAAATTTTTGAACTGCGAACATTCAATTTACTCTTAAATGCATTTTAACTACAAGTATGCTTACAAATCCAACCCTTTCTATAATCGTTCTATGCAGTCGGTAATGGAAAACGTAAAGGTATTTTTATGAGTCCAAGTGGACGCCATTTCCTGCGCTAAGTCAACAAAATAGTTCCTCTAACATACCATACAAGAGATATAACTCATATGCATCTTTTGCTGAGAAACAGGCTTTTAATAATAAATAAAATCCTCACGTACGAAAAACAATTTGAAAATGCCGACAACAAAATAAAAAAAGGAATATTTGAGATGGTTGGGCATGCAGGCTTCCGAACATGAAAACAGAGCGAAACATGACTCAGCTGAGGTTTACTTTTCCCCAGACGATGCTAAGACGACATCAAATAAGCGATGGCATTCCGTAGAAGGGAAATAAAAAACACTGTCAAATAAATAAGAAATAAATCCAAGGAAATTTATACTTCTCAACTCTTCCAAGCGAAAGATCTCAACACAGCCCCACATTTCCCCTCCTATGATGAATGTCGGCAGACTACAACCTCCTCCTGGTTTGAAAAGTCGAATAGGGATTGGGCCAAGGTCGTCAGACATTTCCGAAACAACTTTTCGGAGTAGTATTAAGAACGAAACTTCGAGAACATTGAACTTCAAATAATTGCCAAGCTTTTTTTTTTTTTTTTTTTTTTTTTTTTTTTTTTTTTAAAGCAGCGCCTTAATGGC